CCAACCATTACAAAGGCAAACACACACCACTGACTGGCAAATGTGCAAACACAGGCTGTGCCAAACTAAGCAGCTTATAGACGATGTTCCAAAAAAGATAAACAAGCTTATTAACATATCTCTTCTGTAAGTTACAGCTTAGCTGCAGATTTAAGCTCTATGGTACAAGACCATGATTTAAGAGCCTAGACTCCTCTGAACCCTCAGCATCAATATCCTACAGTGACATTGTTCAATGTTTCCACAAAGAGCAGTAAGAGCCAGAAGACACTAAGGTTTTATTTTAAATTGCACAGTAAAAATGGCAAGTGATAGGTTATGGGTTTTATTAGACTAACTGAAGAAAAATCTCCTGTTTTTTTCTAATCCTAATCTTTGGTTACTTTTATTTCTGTTTTATTTTAATTTGCTTGCATTTGTCTTCCCGCTTTTTCTAGAAGATTACTACTAAGTAAGAAAACTGCTGTTTTAGGACACACTGAAATTGGAACATTAATTCATGTCCCTGTGGATCTTGGGAAAAAGCCAATGCATGTCTTGAACTTTATCATGATAAACCCCTGGCACCCACTAATCACAAGATTGCATCTTCACATAAGATAAGGGGAAGATTTTTGGCATGGGAATGAACACATACACCTAGTTGTTTGCAAAGGCTTGCAACCTGGCAGCCTTTCAGTAAGGTTTCACTCACATAGCTGTTACTGTATACTCTCCAGCTATGGCTGGGAAGTTGATAATCCTTAAGATATGAGGAGAGTTTTGATTTCTGACACAGCATTCCTGAGATAAATGCAGGATCAGAGAGATGCTTTGAAATTCCCAGAGATACCCCACTGGTAAGCTGCTACATGGGAACAACTTTTAACAAAGTGTCTTTAAAAAAAAAAAAGTTAACTCACAGAACTTATGTTTGCCATAAAACTATACATTAAATATAAACCAGACACAGAAAATAAGAGAACATCCCAAAGTCTGTCTTTCTAAACTCTCCCAATGTATCTCAGTATGTTTTGTCCATCACAGAGATAAGAGCTACTATTTCCAAGCCTATTACAGTTTCTTGTAAAAAGGTTTTTCTTTCCCTGGTACAATTCCTTCTCGCTGTTGTCACTAGGTGTCTTTTCAGAGCATAAACTTGTACTTCCAGCAGAGATGGACTACACAAAGATGCAGTCACCTTGAAGTGGTCATTACAGTTTCCTGTCTATAGAATTTGAAATGTACATGTTTCATATACATAGTTATTCTGTCTTTTTGATCAAGTGATTAATTAGTTAGTTAGCAGCATGACTTATCAACATATTTACCCTAGATGCAAGATTGTGCATGTCACTACCAGATGATCATTGACTAGGGGGTACCTTTGCATGATTAGGTACACTTTTGACTACCTGACATACCCACAAACTGAAAGAAATGAAAAATTAAGCAACCTAGAAACACAGAGCTGCTGACATACTGAGGTCATGTGCAACTGCTAAAGAACAAAATATTTTATACTAGTTCATGACCTTTTCCTCACATATTTAGCCCCAACCACTAAACACTGAAAGTCATAGGAAACTAAAACCCACAAATTATCACTGTGGAGCAGTCCAAATAGCTACACAGAACCCCTACAAAACTGCTTGTCTTCTGCTCTTCCATTCACAACCACGGTACTGTCTGCTGCTTCAGTCCATGCACCCCTTTCACTCCTCTGTGCAGATTTCTTCACCAGACTAGTTTCCTTTTGGTATGATGCAGTAATTATGTCTCATGCTTAACTGAGAGAACATTGAGAGTTATGGTTACAAATGGCTGGCACTTTGGAGGTGGGAAACGGAGAGAAGAGTCCATATAGGGCAGTGCAGCACTGGAAAAGTAAAAGCACAAAACAGCAAGTAGTTCACCTTTTAAATGACTTGCTTTACAAAACACACAGCAATTCAACCAGTTCTTTTCACTGAGTGACCTTGCAACTGTACAGAAAAAAGAACTCAGAATTGCAAGTGACTGTAGGGCTGCTGTCATGCTCAGTATTTCATTGGTGTACATGTTATCAAATTAAATCACACAGTTTCCTCTCACAATGTTTTGCAGGTGCAACCCACCTATAGCAGATACCAGGACTGTAAGCGCCCAATTACTTCTTGTCCAGTTAACCTGCTTTATACCAATTCAAATCAGAGTTGCACGGGAAGCACAAACCTGCAGTTTTAGCAGCAGCTAAAAAATAACTCCTAAATGCAACAAACACTTCTGTAGCTGATCTCCAGGCAAACTTTGTAGTTCAACTATCACCACTTGGCAATAAACAATAGGAATTTCTTGAGGAAAAAATCAGTCACAGACTAAAACATTATGCTATTTCATATCAACAGCCCATTTGTTGTAAAGAGCAACAATAGGCCGCAGTGGGGAAGCACCAAAAGCACTTGGCCAGCAGCAGGGAAAG